CAATTCAAGCCAAATGGCAGTGCCCACATCTCTGGACCTATGCTCTCATGGAGGCCGGAGACCCTGACCACACTTGGTGGAAGTTTAGAATCTTCAGATCAGTGCCGTTGAGTGTTTTCCTAATGAGACATCCTCTTTAATTTGGACTCACCCCCTTGGCTGGTAAGTTGGTACATGGAGCAAGGAATCCCACCCTAGACATGCAGACCCCTTGTGGCCGCGCTCTCTCATTCCGCCCAAGTATGACAGCCAGCTCCGACCTCAGACCCCTGGGTTCCACCCACCAGGTGCAGCCAAAGGAGGCAAGTTAGCCAAGCACTTCCCCAGCCATGTTCTCTTATGGTTGAAGCCAGAAGCCCATCATTCTCCGCACAGGGCCCCTCCTGTAGTCCAAGCAAGCCTCGGTTGCCACACTAGGCCCAGGCCCACATGGATAGGCATGCACACACAGAAAGCAGAGGGCCGGTGGAACACACTCCAGTAGCCACGCCCACACTAATAAGGTGGTGTGAACCCAGGAAAACCAAAGACAAGCCAGCGGGGAGGAAACGTAAAGAAAGAAAGAAAACACAAACAAACAAAAAACAACTATGATGGTTTCGCCCTCACTGGAAGACAGGCCAGCCAAGACATACCTTTTGACTAGGACGGCACAGCTGTTCATTCTTGGGACTGCCAACAAGGTGGATGGTCTTCTCCATCGCCCCAGGGACCTTGAGCAAGTATTGCTTTGGTTTATTTCAGGAGGTGCTATTGGAAACATAAAACAAAGTGCCTGGAGGGCACTATAAAAAAAAATAGAAGAAGAAACACGGGAGACTTGATCATCCAACGGGAATTTATGTTTGTAAATAGGGGCCAGGGGAGAGGGGCATATACTGTGAGGTATCGTTCTTCCTTCCATGAGTGCGGCCTCAGGTTGCTTTGTCACTGCTGAGTCCATGACTTTCTGTTTATATTCCATTCCTGCATTTGCAAATTGCTCTTCGCCAGGAGGAAAGTGAGGAAAAACCCAGCAACAACACCACAGTGGCTTTGCTGGCAGAGGGGAGGAGCCCAGGAGGGGCTGGCAGTCAGGGCCCAGGCGCTGGAGGGAGGCCACACGCGGAGGCCCAGACTTCCCAGGAGCTGCTGACATTTTCTTGCAAGCAGGGAGGAAGATGGAAAGGTCAGGGAGCAGAAATGGGGAGGGGTCTGCCGTAGGGAGCCACGCACTCCGTGGGGTGCAGAAAGTGCCATCTCCCAGCGAGGCAGTCCTCCCGACTAGGTGTCCTTGAGTCAATCCCTCCCCCAGCGGCTCTCTCCCAAGCAGGATAGCACTTCAATTGCTTTCATTTCCCTTCTCACTCGCTCTCTCTCCAAAAAAAAAAAAAGGTCCATTTCTAATAATAGCTAGAATACATAAATAATCATCTTTAATGTTATTCGCTCTTTGTTTCCAAACCCAATGTTCCTCCTCTCTTCGTTTTGCCAATAAATAGGAAAACTGAGGAAATCGACTCTGCTCGTGTCAAAAAGATCCCCCCCACCCCCACCAAAGAGAGACAAATCGCCTAACTTCCCATTTCTACGGAAAATAGGAAAATAAACAGTACGTCACGATGCCATCTCTCTGAAGGACTGTAATCCTGCCCTTTCCTTTTGCTTTGTTTCAGTAGTTTGTGCTTCTGTTGTACACACTCAAAACTGGGGGGAAGGGGGGAGAAGGATGTGTGTGGAAGGAGAGAGGAAAAAGCAAGGATGAAGGGAAAACCTAAAGTTGACTTTCATTTAAAAAAAAAAAAAATCAGACCCAGAATAACGACCAAAGTCAGAGGGTGACGGCTAATCGCCCAGAGAGTCTGTTCCATGGGTTTAGCAACTGCCCTTTTTATCTGCTGTGGGCGACCCCCGGCCACTGCGGCGTCCTCGGCAGGAGCGAGGCTCTTCCAAATCGTCCTCATCAAAGCCGTGGAAAGTTGACGTGTCACTTTCTGACGTGGAACCGAATAAGTCCTCCGTGGTGCGCGCTGCGGCCGCTGCCTCCTCCTTCCTGCCTTCTCCTCCCAAATGAGCTGACATGTATGATGAATATATCAGCACATGGGTTAAGCAACAGACAGCATTATTAATATTCTTATTACATTCTTACAACGTTACTCTTAATAGCAAGATCAAAAACCATTTCACACCAAAAGGGATTAGCTGGGTGCATCACCTGGCGACAGGGATTCAAGGGTAACAGGACAAATCCAATGTTTCCAAGGAAAAGGATTCCTCCCCCCACCCCCCATACACACCCGGAAAGGCATCATCTCTACCATAATACACATGTCCACAGCTCTGACAGCGACAGATGCAACCATGGTCTTTCTTTCTCCTCTTCGCCTGCATACATACGCATGCACGCCCGCTCAACCCCGCCCCGGACAGTGAGTTTCCTGGCTGGTTTTTAAGCCTGGTCGGTATTTCTTTGGTGGTTTCGCTTGGTGTTCCTTTGAACAGTTTGTCCTTCACTTTGACAGTCAGCTTTACAAAGGTATTACTGTCAGATAACCCATTCAAGGTGGTTAAGCCTCTGTCCACTTTATTTTTATTTTTACCCGTTTCTAATCCCATTCTTAGGGCACCCTTTCGATTCTGCCCTTACACCATGTAGTCCATTTGCGCTGAAAGCGAGAAGAAGTGGGAAAGTCTGATAAGTGGTAGGCAGTAAACAAGTCTCTCGTTTTCCTTAACGACTGGAGGAAATTTCGGTGATCTGCACCCACATACATGTGCGGGCACATGCACACCTGTGTGCACACACATGCACACACACACACACACACACTCCAGCCCAGGTCTTGGTTACTCCAGAAAGTCCAGAGTTGTCAAATCTAACTCAGAGTGCTAGAAAGGCAGGACATCAGGGTTTCAAAAGCCTAATAAAATCCAGTATCCTGAAATCTAGAAAACTCAGCTTTAAACTTCTTCACACTGTAAATGGGCCCCAGGACCGCCCTCCCCTCCACCGGCCATGAGGTCACAGTGTTTCACTTATGGTGTCAATTTCAGGAATCTCATTTTCTCCCCCAGAAACAGAGGTAGATGGGAAGGAAAAGACAGTTTTTCTGAGCTTCACACTCTTCCTTGGAAGGACTCCAAGGAGGCGCTAGAGAAGTATTCGCCCACCTGCCTTAACAAGCATGTCTCATGGGCTAACGCCACCTGTTTAGTCCCAAGGTAGTGACTATTTCAGGAGCCTCAGAGTCAGACCTTGACTACATCATCCACCAAAATTGGCAAATGCAACGAGAACACCTAGGCTGGTATCAAATGGCCCCTGAGTCACGGAGCCGACAGATCCTGGGGGGATAAAAAGCTGAATAGAGGCTGTGAGGAGAGAGGCTTTGGATAGACAATACCAGCTGCCCACTTCTGGTTCCCCGTGGATCAGATTCAAGTACCCCACCGATTGTAGGGAAGGAAAGGGGAAGATTAGAGCAGTCTCCAGGGACAATTCTGAAGCTGCCTTTTCTAATGCACCCCCAGCCCGGAGCAGCCCATCGCGCTCAGCCTCGAATATCACTCCGCCAGGTGACTGGGCTTCTGGCGATAGAGATTTAGTCTGATAATTTGCTTTTAAGAAAACACTGAATTGGATGTCACTTGTTTCGTTTTCTTTAATTATTTTTAAAACTATTCATGTTCTTTTAAGTATTCAAAACCCGGAGTGCACTGCCACACGAGCCCTCTCCTCTAAGCTGGTACCGGCAGAGGAAAGAGTTCAACGTGAGGTATCATGTTTGGAAAACAAACCAGCATGGACGGGCCACCCAGTCAGGTCCTTAAGAGGTCACTGCGGAGGGTATGTGCACTGGAGACCACAGTCCTCTTCCAATTACTGATCTGCTACTCAAGTCAATCCGGAACGCTAACCGACCCCAAAACCAAATATAAAAGGACTCAAGTTCAGGTTTGCAAGCAAAGTAAAGGAAGAACTGAGCTGTTACAGTAAACCCAGGTGCGGTCACCTCAGTCCTTCTCCTGGGCCTCGGAGCAGAAAAGACCCCAAAGGAGAAATATGGGAAGGAGTGATGGCTTCTCACTACTACACCAACCACCCAGCTGAACTGCATCTCACCTGCTCGTCAGGGCTGGGTCAGACTAAAGATGAAGCTGAGATCTTTTCTCCTCCCTGCCTTGTGCTTTGGCTTCACTAGGACATAAAACTATGTGAAAGATAGGTCGCACCAACCAACCACAACCAGCCAAAGATAATGGTTTGGTTAGGATTTCAAAACAAAACATCTTGAACAAAACTTGAAGGCCTGAACTCAGTTCAAGAATGAGAGAACAAGACCAAAATCTGTTTTCATCATTTTACTCCTTGGAGATATCAAAGACGAAAATTTCAAAACATGCCAAGTCAACTCCACACCAGCCCTGAGAACACTTGCCCTTTTGCTCCTTGACCTTTCCCGATCTCTTTTGTCCATTTTATATGAGAAAATGGGATGAGCGGCCAATGAAGGTGGTCTTTACGCAGCTGCCCATGGGCTCTGGGGTCTCAGACTCCCACAGTTTAAGATGTGGCTGCTCTTTCTATATTCATGTTTCCATACTCTTCCAGTGTGCCCTGGGCTCATCCACAGAACAAATACATCTTTTTGTTATGTGCACATCATCCGATACAAGGAAGCATGTGGCCCATGTCTCCAGGTATTTCTTCAACACTACCTCGCTGTTGTCCATGACAACATACACAAAGAAATATCCACCTCATGGAGAGGCCTCAAAGAAATAAGCCAACATCCCAGGGCATAACTTTCCCCTCTTCCTACATCCCAGGGCATAACTTCCAGTTCTTAAGACTTAAAGAAGAAAAACATCAAAATGAACTGAAAACTCCTCTCCACTCAAAATCACCACCATCTCTTCTCCACTCCACCCTTCAACCCCCACACAAGATGGCCGAGGGATGCAAGTAGAACAGCTCCTGGTCTATGGGCACAGATGCAAGAAGGGGCCACACTCACCAGAGCGTCCACAGTCTGCACAGGACACCAGCTCTTCAGGCCGCCCACTCTTCTTGTTCATGTTAGAGCCCCCCAGGCAGAAGTCACAGTAGTTGTTGGGAATGACAGTCCCATCCGGTCCTTTCTGGGCTATAGAAACATTGAAAACAAAAATCTGATATCAGGCTGACACGAGTTTCTACTGGCCCCTTTTCTCCCACAGTTTAGCGGAATCTGCTCCGGGAAGAATATCAAGTCTAGGATATAAGGTTTTATTACAACCAAGTTGTTAAGTTGGGCTGTTTTCTTTTTGATCCTCCTCAGCTCAATAGTCCTAATACCTTGCAAGCCATCCAGAGGTTAGTGTAATTTCTGCAATATTTGCAAAAGCCATCTCTGCATTTTTACAGAAACTCCCCTGCTCCTCTGATTCCATTCCCTGGATGCACAAAGCATCCAAAAGGCCTACTAGTCAAGTACTCTTCTCTCATCCCGGCACAACCAGACCTCAGGACTTAGGTCTCAAACACCAGGCGGCAACCATAAACGGTGGTGGGGTGAGAGGGAGAGAGAATGGGCCATGCCCAGGCCTTGCTCTTGGGAAAGACGCTCTTGTTAGGGAGATATTCCTCTGGCCCTGAAAATGAAAACAAAGAAGCACTGATTGTAGGCATTTCCAGGAAGCTTCTTCTGAAGATGCTTCTGGGGACTCTGATGAATATCTTGGCAGGTACACAAGTGTCCTGCTCTCGTTCAACCTCACCTCCCTAGAGTCCAGACTTGCTGGGATGGAGAGAACTCAGGACTAGTTAATCAGCAGACCTCAAGGACCTAGAATCAGACCTGGATGCTTAGCTCAGCCTCATGCCAAAGAAAGGTTGAATGGTGAGTTAGTGAGTGTGCCTTGAGGCTTAAGACCTTCGTAAGCCACCCCTGCTGAAGGTCCTTATCCAAAGGCAAAGAAAAATCTCAGGACATGATCTTAAAAATGAAGCTTGTGAGAACGGCACATATTCTCAAGCACTGAAATCATTCTCACTTCCTAGGGGCTGGCTGAAAAGGCTTGGACAGGTTTCTGTGCATGGGAAGAAACACTTCCATTCTCTTGTTTTTCGATCCCTATTGTGGAGATTTCTTTGTCACATGAACACTCCCTGTTTGCAACTAAGAAGAAAAGTCTGCCTGTTTATGGGATCAGCCTAAACCACAGGGGTATCTTCCTCCTCGCTATACCCAATGTCTGCTGCTATCTTTCATTATTTACTGGCTAACATTAATCAGGGTCCCGTAGGGTACAAATCTGTAAAAGGAAGCAGATATGTGAGCAGAAATACCATCCAGACAGTAAGTGATAAACGGATTCACCCACTTTAATATGATTCCCTCTGGCCTTTGCTTCCTCCATGCCTCTGCTTTGCCTCCAGGAATAGAAAAACTTACCTGGGGAAGGCAGAAGACAAAAGCTTGCAGAATTACATTATAGAGAGTTAATCCATTTATCAGTTGCTATTTGGATTGGTTAATCAGTTTCTAAGTCATTGATTTTCATCTTCTGGGAGGCAGACAATTCCCTGCAAAAAAGGTGTTGGCTGTTGGGGGCAGATGCAGGATCTGGCCACACCCTGTGGCCTCTTGAGTGTGGGGTTTGTCTTCATCACTCACTGTATCTCAAAGACATCACAGGTCATAAAGAATGGTTTTGCAAATAATCTCTGAAATCAGTACGCCTACAAAAAGTGTACTCTAAAATTCTCATTCCCCCAAACCAGAAGAAAGTTCCTTTCTTCCTTCTCTCTTATTTGCCACCTTCAACATTTCTAGAACTCTCCTAAGAAAATCCAAGCATGTCTCTAAAGCAAATAAACTCAGGATTTTTTTCGTTCAGAGGCTATTCTAGAAATCAGTCAAATGGTGAACAGGAAGAAGAGGGGTATATGGAATTTTGGGGGCTGAGTGTAAGCTAGAACTAACTTTCATGATTGACAGGAACTAGAAAGAAAATAGGGAGATGACAGTCACAACACAGGTAGCTTCCCTGCATGAAAAGCAATCAAAGAAGTCCACGTATATCATCCTACTAAAAGTCTCAGGAGCCCCAGTCCCGCCACCTGTCTCTCCTGTTCTTTTAGGGACTCCCTATTATGTCAGATTTTCTCTCCTCTCACAAAATCTTTAAGCAACCAAAGGATCTGGTTTTCGCGAACACAGTGTATGCCTTGTGACTTACAAGGATGAAGTAGAATAGAGTATAGGAACTCTTGGGTAATTCTTTACATCAACAGATCATTGGTAGAATGCCCTCAGTGAATCAGGGACTCTAATACTGCAAGAAATTAAAAATTCAGAAATGGTCTAGTAGGGCAAAGCAGATTGTGATAGAGAAATTGGTCCTGTGTAAAAAGACCAAAGGAACAGAATGTAATTCATCTAATGAAAAGAAGTTTCTGAGAAGACTGAATCAGAGCAGGATCCCCACATACATTTGTGTTGGCTGCTGGCCACACAAAGTATCTGGCCAAGGGGGTAAAGAAGGTACTAAGTAAGACACCAGTTGCAGGCCCTACTGTGTGGAGTTGTGACATGTCAGGACTGGTACCATATTAGTCTAGCAATGACCCAGTATAGAAAGTGACAGTGAACACTTGTGTTTTATTTTTGGCAAAATCCTACTCTCTTCTCATAATAGTGAGTTCAGAGCTTCTTTTCATCTTGGTAAAATAGTGTGGGAGAGACTAATCAGAAGCTCCTGCATCTGGTTCTCTTATAGTTTTTGGTAATCACGATTGGTTTCATGGTGAGAGTTTCCCCATAGAGTTCTCCCAATTCCCCAGCTAAAAGGGCCAGTCAGAACTTGGGGAGGACACTCGGTTGACATCAATTTTATGACCCTTCTCTTGTTTATACATGTGTACACCTGCCTCAACTCCTTGTACTAAATGATCTACTCCTTCAGGTCAGGCACCATGTCTAACTCATCACTGGAATACCTACATGCCCAGCACACAGGAAATGGTTCACCACAATGTGTAGGATGAATGGCTTAGAAAAGGATGGCAGAGATGTGAGTAGACAGCCCAGTGACACCCCTGGGACATCCTCCTAGTGGGGACAGAGCACTGTGTTTGCTTTCCCTGTGGTAGAGTTATCTGTCGCTCTGAATATCATCCACTACATGGTTCCCAAGTCCTCAGAGAGAGACATGCCAGTCCATGTCCAAATGGATTGGTCAGTCATCTGGCCTGGTGTCAGGTCTAGCTCCCAGAGTAAACATGAGTGGGTGGCTGAGGGTCCTGGGTTGCTGGAAGAAAAACAGCATACCCCTTGCACGGTAGGAGAAACATCATTTGTACACAAATATATAAGAAAGCATAAGATTCATATAATGAAGCGTAGGATTCATTGTCTCTGGGAGGGGATGCCAGGTTGCTCCTACCCACTCAGCCTTCCTCTTGTTCAATGGTTTCTTGAAAAGAAAAAGCAGCAGACATTTATTACACTATAAAACTGGACAGATCTTCCGCTGGATGCTTTACATATGTTGTTTCATTGATTCTCACAAAAACGTTGTAAAGTGGGGATTATTTGAAGACGAGGTAACTAAAACCCAAAGAGATTATGGGCCTGGCTTCACCCCTGGGTTGTCCATGTCCCCAGAGACTCTCTGCCTCTTGGAAAAGCCAGAGACAAACACTTCCTGGCCATACCTTGCATACAAAATAGTTCATAAATCCCCTTAGAGTCAACTTGATTCACCCAATACGTCACTTAGGAAGCCCAAAGGGATAAAAATGATTGAGATTGGCCTGATAAAAGCAGAAATTCCCTTTGAACTTAAATTTAATGTCCCTACCACAGTAATCTATACTGGGTGATCCTGTTTATTGCCACATACTCTGTGAAAACACTTCTCCAGAGAATTCAGAGGCTCTGGAAGGAATTTTTTTAAGTAAAGCTTACACCACAGCTATACTGGCCTATGGCCTGACCCAGCCATGAGCAATTTCCTGGTACCGTGTATGAGATCATTATAAAAGGGATTTTACTATAAATAGGAAGCTCACACAGACCTTGCAAGAGGGATTTAAATAGAGATTCTGCTTCTGCTTATGGGAAATTGAGTCCCACTTTATAGAATAAGACAACAAGAGGGCAAAGATCTGAGTGGTATCTCGATGGCAGCGTCCATAATGATGGATTTGGTTTTCTGTTGATTAATGTTCATGGACTAAGATCATATAAGAGATACAAGGAAGCTGCCGAGAAAATAAAGTGAGCCTTAAGAGTTTAGGAATTTACCTGGGGGAGATAGCTCTAAAATGCACAAAGTGGGGGGACAGAATGGAAATCGAGAACAAAGTTCATGAAGAAACACACACAGATCTAAATAAATAAAGAGAAGATGGGAGGGAGCATTCAAATCCAACCAGGAGAAAGGAAAAGCCAAGCCCCAAATAGTCCCACCACCACACTCAGAATGAGCGGTCATTCTGGAAAGGTATTAGCGTACACTTCAATCAGGCCACATGTCTATGGCAAACAAGGCCCCAAATCTTCGGTAAAACTACCACCCACACAGGGCTGATCTCTGCTGCGATATGCCTGCCACTCATGAAAGGAAGGAGTGGCGGGGACAGTCTGGCCACCAGCAACAGCCCCTCATCCGGTTCTGCCAAGACCAAAGCTGTGTCCCAAGTGTCCTAGGGAAATAGGAAGCATGCCAGAAGTTTAGCCTCCCCCACGGCACATCCACAAAAGCATGACTTCACATCCTGAGCAGACGCTCAGACCGCCTGCCAGGGCCTGGTGTGCGCAGGCACGCGGCCCTGCTCTGTGCCTGCCGCCCAGCCGCGCAGCCCAGCAGCTCTTTCCTCCAGGGCCCGCGAGTTGGGGTGTGTGGCCCTTGGGGAACTGAGATGTGGGGTGGGGGGGGGCACGGTAAGAAAAGCCCTCCAGGAGGAGCTGAGCCTCTCCTCACCCCTCTCACTGCTCCCCCACCACCCTCCACTGGCTGACAGTTCCCATCCGTCCACAGGGCTGACCTGTTTCCATGGCAACCGGAATCCTGGGCTCCGGCAGCCTCTGGTCTTGCCACCTGTTATTACTTCATCTCTCAAGTGTAAAGCATCCTAGCCGGTGCCACTTGGCTGTGC